TCGCTATTCATAATAAAAAGAAAAGATTCACTAGTTTGTAAATCAATAAAAAAAAAGGTTTTAGTCCTAATAAAACAGCAAATTATAGTTGGAAAACAGAAATGGTTTACTAGTCATTAAAAAAAGTGTAAAGCTATTTTATAATCCTGCATTTCGTCAATTTCAATTCATTACCCCTCTCCTGTGCACTCCGCCTGGCACAATTTTCCCCATGAAACCACCACCTTCATTATTGTCATTCCATGAGTTCTTTTGTTTTTATCTGTATTCTTTTTTATTGATTATGTCAATAAACAAAATATTCAATTATAAGTATACGCTATTGCACTTCGCGTGAAATGAAAACTCAGCACTTGCAAGAAATAACAAAATATACGTTATAAAAAACCTTACTATATGCAAAACAAAAAAACAACTTTAATATCTTAAACAAGTGAATACAAAATCGCAGTACAAACAGTATAAACAAAATCAATTATTTATAAATCAGTATATTGCCTATATGGGCCTATATTTACATATAGCCTATATATATATATATATACATATACAAACCTTACTATATGCAAAATCTAAATATAGACTTTATTTTTTTAATATTTACATTTTAAAAACTTACAATATTTAAAGAAAATTCCTTTTGTTAAATTCCTATTATTTAATTAAATTTGTATTTGCAGTGTGGTTCCTTTTTAATTGTGAATATTGGATCTTTTTTTTAATTTTGACTAGCGTTTAAAGCTCTTTTTCTATTATGACTAGCGACAACAAGGTCCTGAAGGTTACATTCAGGCATTAGAAATCCTGAGAATGATCAACCCCATTTCGTACTAAATTCATTAATAGGTAATCTTTTGAATAGGTAACCTTTAAATGGAGGAGATCATTAAGGGTTATGGTTGCTGGTGGGAGACATGAAAAAGTAACGTTAACCAAAATGGGTTATACAAATGACTTCAACAGCACATCAAACTTACTCAAAGTTCAGGGGTTATTACCAAAATTTCTACAGGCTAAGTGGGCCAATGTTGCCCATGAAAATACTTCCAAGATATGCTAAAATATGTATAAGTCTAGGTATAAGTCAATAGCACTATGTTTGAGGGCCATGTAGAGGTGAATCAAAAGGTAAAAGATAAATCAGTTGAGGTTAAAACCAGAGAGAAATTATGATAAAGGTGTGTGTTGTAAAGGTATCCATATGTTGTGAGAATGCCATGAAATTCAAAGATAAACATGTAGATGAGCGATGGAATCTTGCCAGTAAAGAAAATTGGTGCTTTAAGACTAAGACTTGTACATGGATATTGTCATGCTGTATCAATGGTTGTCAAAGCAACCATAATAGATTGTTACATGGGACAAGAAGTAATGATGAACGTGTAGGAAATTCCAAGGTTCTCGTAGAAGGGGAGGGAACAAGTACCAGGGGCCAAGCAAATAGGCCTATCACAATGTTAAATCAAAGTCAGTCGGTTGCTTTACGTACTATTCCTATAATAGTGAGCAAAGGTTGTAAGCATATGCAGGTAAATGCTTTGCTAGATGATGCTACGCTGCTATATGTAAACACATATTAAAGCGATGTAGTGAACTTACATGAAACTGAGGATGTTATGCGCAAGTTTTGGGAAGTAGAAAATCAAGTTTTAATTAAAAGTGGTGTTAAATTGTATACTAAAGAAGTTGAGCTGGCCGTTAAGGTGGCTACAGAGTCGATGTGTAGTAATGGAGAGAGGTACCAAGTCAAAGTTCCATGGAAGGAAGATGAGAAAAAAGAGATGCCAAACTAGAAGAGAAGAGACTCGCAAATTTGGAGAAACGGTTGAAAAAAATACTGTCTTGGTAGTTGCATACCAAGAGGTTGTGGATAGTTATCGGGAAAAATAGTATATTAGAAAGATCAATCTAGATGAAAAACATAATCTGGAACAACAATGTTTCCTTCCACACTAGATAGAGAAACAACCAAAGTAGTGTATGATGCTTCTGCTCCGTATTGTGGAGTGTGGTCAAACGATGTCTTATATAACGAACCAAAATTACAAAATAATTTATTTGATGTGTTATTGAGATTTTGAAGAAATTCAGTAGCTGTGGTCTGTGACATATCAGAAATGTATCTACAAATAGGGTTGGCTAAAGAAGATAAACAAATGTTTAGGTTTTTATGGCGAGATCTAGATGCGAGTAAAGAGCCAGAGTTATATGAATTTAACAGATTAGTATTTGGAGTTAATGTGGTGCCATTTATTTCCCAGAAGGTTGCACAAGAAAATGCTAAGTTACATGAATGGCTGTGTCCTCTAGCAGCAGAAACCGTGTTAATGAGTACATATGTGGATGATAGCATGGACTCAGTGAGTGATGTAAAAACAGTGGTTGAGTTGTACAATCAACTAATTGAGTTATGGGGGAAGGCTGGTATGAAGGCGAGAAAATGGTTATCTTACTCAAAGGAGGTTTTGGAAGCAATGCCCGAAGATCAAAGAGCCAAAGAACTGAAATTAAATGAAAGGGAATTGCCATCAGTAAAAACATTAGGATTAATGTGGAAGGCAGAAAGAGATGTATTCATCTTCAGAGGATCAGGTGGGTCTATAGAAAACATGACAAAGAGAAATATTGTAAGTAAAATTGCATCATTGTTCTATCCGCTTGGGTTTATATCACCAGTGATTATTTCTGCAAAGATAAAGCTCTGGGCACTGGGAGAATCTTGGGATGAACTTGTACCAAAGAATGTAGCAAAGAGTGTAGCAGACTGGTTGAGTGTCTTAGCGCTGAAGGTGAACAGAAGACAGTGGGATTGATAGCTTCAAAAACCAGAGTAGCTCCACTGAAATCTGTGAGCATCCCTAAATTAGAACTAATGGCTGCTATGTTAGGGCTACAACTTACTATATCGATTGTAACAGTATTGAATTGCGATATAATGGAGGTCACATTTTGGAGTGACAGCATGGATGTACTCTGGTGGATACAGAGTCGTAGTAGATCTTTCAAGCCCTTTGTTGCGAATAGAATAGGCGAGATTCATCAGAAGACCAACCCAAACTAGTGGCGTCGCGTACCAACGAAGTCCAATCCTGCAGACCTTGCCTCAAGGGATACTACCATTGAGAGTTTGAAAGTTAATAAAACTTGGTGGAATGGACCAAAATTCTTAATGAACCGGTGAACATAGATGATCATTGGAGACTCGATCCAAAATGGCATTCAAGTTGGTCCAGACTGGTTGGAATAGCAGCTTATGTTTATAGGTTCATAACAAATTGTCGATCAAACAAAGATGACAGGGTCTATAAGCAGTTGGAGAGTGAAGAGATCTTGTATGCAGAACTGAGAATAATACGAAAAGCGCAAAAAGAATCACGACATAAGTAACTTAAAGAAAAATGGTGCTGTATTATCTAACAGTGTGTTGAGTACATTAACACCTACAGTAGACGAAGACAGAGTATTACGCATGACAGGACGTTTAAGTTTAGTTGAAACCTTGCCACATGACGTCAGATACCCAATCATATTGCCTAGAAATCATTAAGTCACTAAACTTATAGATGACTTGGTAAACATGTGGCTGGAACAAATCATATAATATTATCACTGTTATCAGAAAGATATTGGATAATTCATAACAGAGAAGAAATCAGAGATTGTGAGAGGAACTGCATGGGATGTAAGTGATGAACGACAAAAATAGGCGAACAAATCATGGCTCCACTTCCTGAAATTAGGACTAAGATGGATAGTTTAAAGGCATTTACCCGAGTAGAAGTAGATTATGCAGGACCATTCATGACAATTCAAGGCAGAGGCAAGGTGTGGTAATAGCGTCAGTTTTGCTACAGATAATGCATTAGTGATGCTGGAAGTTCATAAATGTGTTTCATTTATTTAAAAAAAAGAAGTTCCAGGAATTTTTGTGATGGGATGCACATGCCATCTCATGCATCTTGCTGCAGAGAAAGCTTCAAAAAAATTACCGATAAGAGTTGATGAACTGTTGATCGATATTTATTTCTACCTGGAAAAAAGTAGTAAAAGACAAATGGAACTGAAAAGCCTGCAGACATTGCATGAAGTTGAAGTACGAAAGATATTGAAGCATGTTTCCACATGATGGTTTTCTCTTGGCTTATGTATTGACAGACTTTTAGAACAGTGGGAGCCATTACTAACATATTTCAACGGAGTTCCCAAAAGTAAGGATGGTACTGTACAAGTAAATCTAGTCACTTTACTGCCTGTTTTTGAAGCATTCAATTCCAATGTTTGACTCTGCCAATATGTATATGCAGAAAGAGGAACCATGTATTCCATATGTTCATAGTGTCTTAATTGAGCAGCTAAAAAACATGTTAAGATTTGTTAAGCCTAGTTGTATCAGGCAGTTTGTATCACGAAGGTAGCATATAAAGATGAAAATAACCAGAAAAATGATGATGAATTAATGGTTGGTTCTGAAGTAAAAGGTTACATTGACCTACACAGAAGAGAACCTGATTTGAAAACATTTTACAGTAGTGTCAGATAGTAGTTTGCTGCTGCATGTGATTAAATGTTGGTGAGTTGAGTTGAGTTGAGCTCTGTGTCTACCCGAGTCTGACTTTAAGTGATTATATATAGGAGTCGTTGAGCCTAGAAGAGCTTGACCTTTTATGTTGATACAAATACTGTGCAGGGTTTTTTTGTTTGTTTCCCCTTTTTAGGAGTCATTGCAGTCAGGGCCATAACACTGGATGCCATTTATAATATTACTATGTAATGTTTCTATATAATTGATCTGAATTAACTGAATGGGTAGTCCTGCTACTCAATTTTGCATGCATTTTTATTGAATATTGTTGTCCATAGTATTTTTGTGATGAGTACTAAATACCGTAGTTATTGAGGTTATTAACTCTTTGGTTGTGTATTATATAAAATTCAAAGGGCAAACACGATGATAGCATTTAATTATACAGTATAGTGGAATATGTGTTTTTGTATTGTAGGTACCTACAACAATCAATATATGGTGATTGACAGGAAAAAAATATCAAAAACGAGTATTGACGATGGTGCATTGTGGGTAGTAGAACAAATACCAACACTTGTGGAATCGGGAGATGAAACAGCTGTCCTGAGAGCTGGTGAGTTGTTGGTAAACTGTTTCATTTACAGGAACACTAAGTGTATGAGTATTAGGGGTATGGGACACACATTAAAGATATATTTACCCCCCAAAAAAAGATTTGTTGTGCTGGGCATTTATTTGCTGCATTCCATTGATTTTTACTCATGATAAAATGTATTTCCATATAACATACATATGCTATTTGCAAATATTATACCTTAATATTTTTAACTTATAATATAAGCTATGGAGTGTTGTGTGACACCATTATTTATATTCCATGTTATTGTGCTAAATATACATGACAATAATGTTGTCATTCTAAAAATCTATTATTTAAAGTATTTACATTAACTTAATTGTTTTTAGGGTATTGGCCATCATATAATGTACCCTTTTATGAGAAAATCTACAACTTGAGTGGCTACCCAGAAGTGGTAAGGGAGAGGGGTCCATCGTACTCGTATCAATTGGCCCCAAGGGCCATGATCTTTCGACGGGATCAAAGTACTGTTGTTGATATTGAATCTTTCAAAACTATCTTAAGGTATAACAGTAAGTATCTTACAGTTATTTTGTTATTTGTTAATGTAAAAAAAAGTTTATTGCTGCAAAGCAGCCAATTCATATTCTTGACAGCAATTTGACCCCTGGAAGGTCATTGTTTGTCAAAAAACAAGGGCCTAAGACAACTGAAAAGCGGAGTTTCCTTTCGTTCTGCCGGATAAAATCAACTACTTTAGGCGACGTTTGTGAACTAACCAACACGTACCAACGTCCGCATGTCGCGCTAGCCTTATCCTACTCTAGGCCTAGACTAGCTAGGATGGTATAAGCCTTAAAGGGACGAAGTTCCCAATGAAAAACAATGTTGCTCCTTGATAGCTAACATTGTCTATTTAACATCACTGTTACATCTCAGAATAACTAAACTAAAACTAAAATAACTAAAATATACATAATTTATTGACAATGCCATTATAATACAGTAATTAAACAAAGATAGAAACTAAACATATAAATGAGCTTAGAGGATGGTGGTGGCTAGAACCTTAAGCAGCAACTTAAGTACTTTACTTACAGATCAGAGAGGAACTGAAGCCGGACAAAATATCAGGGTTCCAGGTAATAAAGATGTCTTGAGTTGTCTGCACTGGATCCCAAATTACAACTGAATTATTTAGGGTAGTAAGATCATTTAAGATGGGTGTAACACTTTGCATATTAAGGGTATCATCCAATCAGGGCACCAATTCCAACAAGTTTAGCAAACTAATCCACCAATTAAAAGCTACAGTAAAGTGTCCGATAAACATATACTTAATTAAGGTAATAAATGAGTGGTTTGGACCAACTGAAATAAATGTCCAGGATGTGAAACCACATTCAAGTCTTGGAGATTCCAAGCTCAGTTCATTTACCTTGTGTTAATTAAATACTGACCATGGGTAAAGGAACTTGTGTGTCATAGGACAATAGCATACTGTAGGATAATAATATTTATGAGCTTTACAAAGTAAAACAAATTAAAATAAGCAAACAGTACTTTCCTAGAAAATGTTAAGTAAAACTTAAGGTCATAAAAATGCTAGCTACAAAATATTATATTATATAATTATATAAAGAAGTTAATTAAAACTAGGCAAGGATGTAACATCACAATAATTCATTATTAGACCTATAGTTGTTTTTTGATTTGTACTCCACAAATCTCAGCCGATAACTCGCACAACTTGAGTAACGTCTTGTATCTATTGTCGTGAAAAAAAACCTAGAAAAGCCGCCCTTGGAAACTTGCCCCATAAAAAAATGTACACTTCCTAGACCATGCAGTCTTCAAAATAAAAATTGTAACCTTTGGTAATCAACTACATTTTCCACATACATAGAAATTTTTGAAACTTTATTAAAAAAAACCTAAACCATAAATCACTATTAATCTATAGACTACTTTTTTGACAAAAATGAAAAATTGCGACTTTGTTACACAATGAGAAGTGCTCTAACATAGACAATGGGTCGTGTCTCAAATTATTTGTTATATTTTTATTATTCATTATTTTCACTTGACACGCATAAATAATTTTGTTCGAAGAACATTTATATGCAGTTGTACTTCGCAGCACTTCAATTGCAATTTGCAATTTCTAGTATGCTGTATATTAATGTTGCCTACAGAACCATGCATTGCAGTGTATATTTTTCATAGTTCTTTTATCTTGGACGGTGTACATTTTTATCGTCGGTTAACTCAGATTCTGCCATTATCATATGCTCTATAAATAATGCTTTTTTTCAAGTTTAACTATTTACAATTGGTGATGATCCTTTTATTTCAGAGCCGTTGGTTCACAAAATTTGCTGTTATGAGCATTATGTAGTATGGTTCCAGTAATTTGGTCCTATTTTTATTCTAATTCAATTGTGCGTAGACCAGCTAGTGTCACCATGGAAACACTGTGTAAACATTACATAAATTAATAATAGGTAGTTTTCGCCGCACGATGTTAACCTTAACTTTAACGTTAGTACACGACATGCAACACGATAGCTCTGCCCCTTTTTGTAAACCAATAGAAATAAGCATGCGCAAACCCGTAACTTACGTATGTCGAGCATGTAAAATCCTGAAATTCACGTACTCCGAAACGCAAGATGAATAAATTATGCCGTCATCTGTTAACGTTAAGGTTAACGTTGTGCAGCGAAAACTACCTATTGTGTCACTACTAGACCTTATGGGAGCACTTTTAATTGTACCCATAATTATGCCATGTTCATTTTTTCTAATCTGGCCTTTTTTCCCTAGATTACAAAAATGATGAGTACTCAGATGGTAATCCATGTAATTCTATATGTTGCCGTGGTGATCTGATGTTAAACACATCTACAAATGGTTGCTATGATACAAAGGTAAATTGAGAAGAAATAAGATAAGTTGTTCTTAAGAAGTATAATTTTCATTACTTGTTTATTTCTATTAATAACATTCTAATTTACTTTTTTTCTCAGGTAACAAATATGGAGATGGCCGATAGGTTTGTTGCTTATGCTATAAGCGGCCCAACAAAAAGCCATGGACTACCTCCTTTCAAGTGGACGACAAACTTCAATGTATCTCATGTTGGTCTTCCTGAAGTATATAACTTTGAGTTTATAGAAATGGAAACAATCTTTGATTAGTGTACTGACAAAAAAGATCACAACATGTGGCTACTGGATAAATCTGACCAGTTGCCCACTAGTGACTATTGTAACATCCATTCGTAGTCATGCTGATGAAGTGAGGACTAGTATTATATATATAGTATTATTATTACTTTTCCTGAATAAAATATTTTGTGTTCTACTGTCTCAGTTTTTTTTTTAATCATTATTTTTTAAATTAAGGTATCGTGATTTTATATGATGTTGACTACTGTATGTCTATTATTGTACTGTATTTTAATATATTTAAATGTATTTGTATTTTAATGTGTGAAGTATCCACTTCGAAAAATTTACCTGACCATTTTCAAGAGGGGGGAACCTTGAATTTTAAAGGATTTAAAAGTCATTAAAAGACACTTCAGAAGTCGGGAAGCTCATTTCCCGACATTTAGAAATCAAAATTTTCCCGGGGAAAACCGGAACTCCCCTTTTTCTTTGGAGTTCATTGATTCATGATTCATTGAAAAACTTCAGTCATTAAAAAGACATCTCAGAAGTCGGAAAAGCTTATTTCTCACCATCTATAAATAACAACTTTTCCCCTTTCTCTTTGGGAAAGAATATGTATGCAACTACTCAATTCTTTTTAAATGCATGTATACACACACATAACAGGCCTATTTAATGTAATAAGGAGAAAGTTTACCTGACACCCAGCTCAAAAGTAGGGAAAGCTCATTTCCTGCTATCTAGGAATCAAAATTTTCCTAGGGAGGACACCGACCCCCTTCCTTTTTGGGATTTTTGGGCCGAACG